GAGGGGCCCCAGAGAGGACCCCAAATTTTCCCCCTCCGCCTCAGACGATACGCTAGGGTCTTTGTCTGCCAGCACAGTCTGAAGACAGAAACAGAGCCATCTGTACTATTCTGTGCAGCTGTTTTAGTTGTTATAGGTTGCAGGTTGTGTTGTGTAGGTGGGCTGTTGTGTTAATATGCATGTCTGTGTTATTTGTCATTGAGCAGTTGTGTTACCATGTATTGATGTTGTACTGTTGTGAACCTGTGGATTATACTGATAAAGAGTTACACGTGATGTTGTGCAGTTATGCACTGCTCTGATATTGTGTACCAGTGTGTTGTTGTTGTGCACTGTTCAGTATTGTGTACCTGTGTGTTGTTGTTGTGCACTGTTCAGTATTGTGTACCTGTGTGTTCTTGCAAACTGCTCAGTATTGTGTATCTGTGTGTCATTGTGCACTGCTCTGATATTGTGTACCTGTGCGATGTCCCTCAGCGTGAACTGCAGAGCCTCAGTCTGTGCTCTCAGAGTCTGCAGCTCCTGCTCTGCACTGCTGCTGTGCTCCTGCAGGGGGCGACACACTCTGTTACTACACAAGTACTTGTATTCCATTCACTGAAGACTCAGGCTGCCAGCGGCCACGACCCTGTCTCACCAGCGCCTCCAGCCTCTGAGTCAGGGAGGCAGCGGCTCGCTCCTTCTCCTCGCTCTGAGCCCGGAGCCTCTCCAGCTCGCCCTGGGCCTCCGCCAGCCTGGGAAGACAGAGACGGGGGGGTCAGGGGGCTCAGGCAGGGCGCGGCAGCAAGCGGGCACGGAGAGGCACTGACCTGGCGCTGAGCTCCGCCCTCTCTGCGTCGCACCGGGCCTGCAGCTGCAGCATGTCCCGCACCCTGTCCCGCAGCTGCCCCTCCAGCTGCGCCAGCTGCGCGGCCTGCCGCTCCTGCACCAGGGCCGAGCTGCCCTCGCTGGCTCGCACGCTGGCGCCCAGGCTGACGCACGACGACAGCGCACCGCGCGACACCCGCGCCAGCTCGTTCCGCATCTCCGAGAGGTCTCTGCGACAGCGAGAGGGCAGGAGAGAGGGAGAGTCTTGTGACCGGCACAGAGTGACTCAGATTACAACACACAGAG